AATACAGTTCCAATGATCATCAAAATGTAATGCCAAGTCTATGCCTTATCAGGGCAAGGGGAAAAAAATCATGTGAATATATTAGGGAATCAAATGAGAATCAGGAAGAAAAACTTTACTATGTAAGACCATGAAAATAAAGGAACAGTTTCCTTTAGTTTTGGATTTCATGAGTATTTTTACATGACCACAAGTACAGCTGAAAAATAAGTGGTTGCTTTCACTTAATAGAATATCATAGTTGTCTAGATTGCCAAAGATTTCAAAACAGTAATGTTAATGGTAACACAAAATATCACTGTGAAGGTGGTACTAAAGCATTCTCTGGACCAGGGAAAGATAATTAGGGTGGGTTTCCCCACAGAGATCGGTTCTTCTATGATGTGGAGATTCCAAGGGCTGGAGTAATTGGATAACGAAAAGAAAAGCAAGTGAACAGAGATACCAAAGAGTCATTTTCCTTCGGACACCACAGATGACACAGCTGGTCATGGCTGACAACGTTAGCTTTCCCTGGACATGGGAAATGTTAAAGAGGACTACAAGTGTCACTATGATTTGGTACATACTCTCTTTACTGGGTTTCAGGAATCTCTCCACAGGCTATAAGGGACAGAACAGGAGGATACTTCTCTGGAAAGTAAAAGGAAGCTAACTAGGTTTAATATAGAAGGTATTTTTTAGCACAGCACTTGGCATAGAGTTTGTCTTTCTTGACATCGTCATAGCCAAAGTGCTCAACAGTGAACTTCATCGTGGTTCTCAGCCCTATTGGCTTCCAATTTTGGTCCAGAAACTCAAACTCCTAGAGGCTTATTCCAAGACCTTGGGGGCTGGAAGTCCTTCTGCTTTCAGAGCAGTGCTCTTTTCTTGAAATAAGTGTCTCAGTTTAACTACTCCATACAGCCTGGCTGGGCTTTCTTAACAACACCTGCTTGCCCGGGTGGCGGACCTCTTGTCTAGTTTGGACTGGGGTTCCTCCCCCCAACATCTCCATCAGAATCCTTTCTGCCCCCTTCTTTATCATGTCTCTTCTATGCAAGAACGGTCCCACAAATTCATTCTTGGCCACAGTTGGAAAGCAAGGAGATGGATGGCGCCCAGGGTAACAGAGTCCTCGCGCCCACCCGAGCAAGTGAGGGCTTATGAGTGTTTTTAAGTTCACCCTTCTCCCTAAGGCAAACCTGCCCAGTGACAGTTTACATCACACGATCTGCCCCAGGGCCAGCCTAGGACAGGGCCTGCACTGCAGCCTGGCTCGCCACCCTCCACGGCTGGTTCCGCTGGGTTTGGCTATGCGAGAACACCACGGGGGCTGCGATGCGTCCTGGGCTCTGCTCGAGCTGTGCGCCAAACAGGGAGTGCCCGCAGCAAGGGCGCATCTCTAGTGGGTGTGAAGGCAGAGTGTGTGTTTGCTCAGTCCTGTGTAAGCCCCTTGATAAAAAAAATAAAAAGTGCATGCATTTTTAGAGAATGTATTAGCATTTGGGGAAAAGTCTGCTTTCTCTTTAAAATTTCCTGGGTGAAATCTGTGACCAATTTTAAGAAAGCTAGGCTTTATAGAAGCAGTGTATAAGAGGAACACGCACACATCTTGTTACACTTGACGACACTCATTCATCACACCCACTCTATACTTTCAATTTCTCTCCCAAGACAGCAACAATTTCCAGACTTAAAATACTTACATCTTATACTGTGCTTACTACAACTGGCTGAAGGTATAATCAGCTGACAGTAGAAATAGGTACAGGTAAATTCAATGTTATCCCAGATTTTTAAGTCTAATACATAATGTTCACAATAGTCAATAACAATGCAGGAATTGAAAAACTATGAATTTATGCACACTTCCATATTGCAAACTTTGCTTAATACTAATTTCAATGCCACAGGAAGAGAAAGCAGCTTTTTGCTTTCCCTCAGTATACTCCAATGCCACTTTCTGCTCTCATCTGTGTCCACATCTCCAAGGGAAAACAGATTTATTATATGTAAAGTCATTTTGGCATTTAAGAAACCAAACTGCCATAAATGTTGCCCAAGAGACACTATATTAACTTCCGCTCTGCAGCAAAGAACCATCATATATCAAGTACAAGAACGGCAACTCAGAGCCCCCGTGAACTGCGTATGGGAAAGGCGCCCCGGTGAGAGAGAAGCATCAAAAGAGTCACTCGCTATTATGTCCAAACACTTCCCCACCTCCTTCACCAAGGACTAACAAACGTGACCTAACATTTTCTTAATGACAGAAGACATTAAGAAAGAGCACTGGCTTTGAAATTCAGAGGACTGTGTTTGACTCATTGGGCCGGGCACACTGGGAGCGTGGTTTTAGTCATCCTTCCTTCCTCCACTGCTCCCCGCTGGGCTTGTCATCGCTGTGGTGGGCCCACTGCATTCCTCAGAGCTGTCGAGAAGATTAGGGTAAACGGCACACACGAAGTGCTCAGGGCAGCGCCCTGTTGTGGCAAAAGGTGCTCTGAGAAAGGTCAGCCCCTGCCTGTGCCCTCAGCACACAACCTGAGCAGCTGAGTTATTCCTCAGTGTGGCAGGCTTGTCTCCCTTCCGTGGAAGCACATGTCAAGAGTGAGTCACTGGGCAGAATAAATGCAACTCCAGGTCTGGCCCTACGGCTCGCTTTTATTTTTGTAAGTACTTGTACCAGATACCTAAATATATTTTTTTCTCGTTTGGCTTTCTTTCTCCTCATAAGAGTGGAATATGAGCACATGACTCCTGGGCAATGGGATATGGCTGCCCTACGGCAAGCTCCTTCCTGCTTCCCAGGCAGTTTTCTGACCCTTCAGGAAGTCAGCTCCCACTATGCTATTTTCAGTTCATGTTTCATAGACCTTTGTGCTGCAGGCTAAGTTTACATATATTGTGAAAGAAACCACAAAGCAATCAAGGCAAACACTGAGGCAGCCACTTATATTTGCCTGTGTGTCTTGCCTCAGCCTCCACAGCAATTTTTGTGCCCTTTTGTTTACTAATAATTTAACATGCTTTGTAGCCTATAGTCTCTGAGCTTAAACCATTGTTAATGAAGCTAAGTGCAGACTAGTTTCTTGGGTAGCTCTATCAAAAAACTACTCTTTGCTATTTCATCCCCATTTACACGCTAGTGACGTATGAGCTATGGGTTATCAGTTGTACTTTAGAGATGAGCAAATGCAGGTGTGACTGTGATTCAGGTGTGAAGAAAGAAATACACACAAGACACAATTTAGAGCTGGTATTTTTCTTTACACCTGTAAACCAAAAAGCATAAAACATTATTTACTCACTTCACTGGGAATATGTTCTGGCAACTCTGTGAACAATAACTGCTCCCTTATTTCCTAAGGCGTGAACTCTGGCTGGGCTGGCACTGAACTTGTTACACATCTGCTTTCTACTCCCCTTTGCACTTGCTACTTGACGAATGATTTCTTTTCCTTTCTACCTACTATTTTTATTTTCTCTGCCAGAGTTGCCTGAACTCCTCTACGAAACATTTCTCAAACTCTACTAGTTCTAGAAGAGGGGATGAACAATGTCATATACTTTAATAAGCCTCCGAAGAAGGGAATTTAGTAGAAGAGTGAACTCCCATCTTTCTTCAACAAATACCGCCTTCTCTGTGAAGGTTTGCCCTGGTGGCCCCAGTTGACCACCCCCTCCCTTTCTGTCCCCACTGTGTCTTGTATTCCTATTCTAGTACACCTTCCATCATAGTAAGGATATGTAATGATGCAAATTCCTCTTTCCCCCACTACTAGGATATGAGGCTGTCAAAAGAAGAGGTCCTGATTTTAGCTTCCAAGACGCTGAACATAAGTTGGAATTAAAGAACAAAACTTTATAAAAGAGAATAAACATCTAGTCTGTGTCTGCATTGGTTTAGTTGAGTAGTTCTGAAATAAAAACGGAGGAAGGGGAGCAAAGTGGACAAGGTGGATCAAAGGCACAAACTTCCAGTTATAAGATAAGTCAGTCCTGGGAAGGTAATGTACAACATGGAGACCATAGTGAACACCACCATATCATGCATTTGAAAGATCCAAGAGAGCAGAATCAAAAGTCTTCATCACAAGGAAAAAAGTGTAACTACGTGTGGTGATGGATGTTAACTAACCTTACTGTAATAATCATTTTGCAATATTTACATAAACCATATCATTATGTTGCACACCTAAATCTCATACAATTTTATATGTTAATTATAAATATAACATATTTAGATTATAAATATAAATACATAAATAACCTTAATTAAAAATAATTTATAAAGGAGAAGTTGTGTGTACTCTAATAACTGTTTCACTAACATAAAACTAGTTAAGAACTGTAAAACTTCAGGTCTGAATTCATATTGTCTTTATGCAGTGTTGTTTTGATTCACTCTGATAACTGTGCAATGGCATGGCTCTTGTTTTCTATTAGTTGCCATTATTGCCCTTTCATTAGAGAGAGAGAAAGAGAGAAACTGGTGTTCTCTGGAGACATCTGTAAGTCCTACAATTTTAATCATGAACAATTTTAGCATTCAAACCACCACATTCTAATCTATTACTTAATACCCCGAGTCTGAGATATGTGTGGAGGACAAGGGTGCCAAGATGCTAAACATAGCCTTAGGGGCTTTACTTTTTTGCTGTTCTTGTCTTTAAGCCAATAAAACCAAGACTGAGTCACTGAGCTTCAGTTACAACAATGAGAATTCAAGTTATCCTGCAAACTACCATTTAATACTTCTTTATGATATTTTAAAATTATACCAGCAAACCACTGAGCTAAGATTAAAATACCACGTTCTCTGGATCATACGTAAAATCACACTGCTTTACTTACCTTTCCATATTTGAGTTATACAATTAAAGAGGTAAAAAAAAAAATTTAAACGCCTAAATGAGTAACAAGAAAAATACCTGAATCTCATACCTCAAGGAGAATCTCTCCTGATTAGAGACAGTTAAAATGTTCAGCTTCTGGGACAGCATTTGGTACTGTACCTGTCCTGTGTATGCGAACTCCAGAGCCTGCTTTAAGCCAAGGCTGGTGACACCATGTAAATTCACCTCATCGGCGCCACTTTCCACCATACAAAGACTGAACATTGCCTGAGGAGGGAAAGAAAGGAGAAGACAAGGTTATGGGACTTACGAAGTAAGGGGACAAGACAAAGTCCTAGAGAGACTAGGAAAGAAGTTTTACAATTTAAATACTGACTCTGGATTCTGAAATGCTTTGACAAAGCTTCACTCACACAGGCCACTGCGAATCATGTTGCTGGCTCACCAGGTACAGTCACACACAACCAGCACTGCACACCTCACACGCAGAGTCCCGTTGAATCCCACAGCCGTTCTCGGGGCTGACTGTGCTCACACGCACTCACTGCACTCATCCCCCCGACCCCGGGGCCTCACTGCTACCGGGAAACGTGTAGCGCTCCCAAAGAGTCTGGCCAACAGGACGTGGAAAGCAGCACCCTTGTCTCCTGACTCTTCTTCCTTTATTCAGCCCCAATGACATATCACCTTCCTCTCTGATACCATATATCACATACTCTATTCCAGCGGCTCTCAAAATGTGGCTCCTGGGCTGGCAACGTCAGTATACAGCCCAGGGGATCGTTACAGGTTCTTGGGCTGGGGTCCCAAGGCTGACTGAATGAGAAACTCAGAGTGGGCCCTGCAGCCTGTGTTGCAGCAGCCATCCAGGCGGCTCCGATGCTCACTCGATTCTGAGAACCATTGTCTAAGTTACTCGGTGAAAATCAATTTGCCTCCAAACCAATTCTCCAAGAGGCCACCTTACTGAAAATCAGTTCTTCCAATGAATGACCAATATAACAAATGGAAAATTAAAAATTAAAACAACAAAACTTGCCAAATTAAACAAATACATGGGTTTGTACCCTTGCTCCACAAAAGCTTTGAACAAGTTTGACTTAACAGGTATAAAGGGAATATTCAATGTTGTGTTACCGATGAGGAAATACACTGTATAGACTGTATGTCTGTGTAGTGAAGAATTACCCCTACCCAGAGAGAGGTCTGGCTTTTGCCCTGGGCTTGTGGGACATGATCTCCAGGCCCTGGGACTATCCTGCCTGACAGGAATGTCTGTGTTTGTGTGGGGCTCTGGCCACTGACAGTCTAGGAACACGATTTACGATGGGGGTTTTGGGCCACACCGTTATCAGTCCGACCTCCAGAGGAACTGGAGACTAAAGGTGTTAACCTGAGCTCAAGGAGAGGCTGGTGATGAAAGGTCACACACAGGCAGTTTGTGATTGAGCCCCAGTAAAAACTCTGGGCACCAAAAGCCTGGGCAAGTTTCCCTAGCTGGCAGTGCATGTGCACACCTCCGCACTGCGGGGTCAGAGGAGGGGCTCCACAGGAGGAAGGTGGCCAGAAGCTTCGTGTTTGGTCCCTCCTGCACTCCACCATATGTGTCTCTTGCCTGGGCTCATTCTAATTTGCATCTTTTCCCTGTAATGAGGCGAATCCAAGAGTATAAGAACTTTTAGTGAGTTCTGTGACTCAGTCTAGACATGGACTGAACATGAGAGTGGTTTTAGGAATCTCTTCAAACTTTGCGAACTCTACAATCTCTGCCATTGGTGTCAGAATGAGAGAAGTCCTCATAAGGGGACTGTCCCTTTGGACTTTGCAGTTTGGTTAACTTCAACAAAAGTAAAACAAAACAATGGAAGAACAACCACAATACACCTACCTCATTGTTCTATGTAGTAATAGCTCAGTTCACCCTCAATATTTTAATTTTAAAAATGTTATATTTAGTCTTGCTAATGTTATAATATGTACCTTTCAGCAATTTTTCATTTTGATAAATTTATTTTTGATCTTAATTCTATGCATTTTAAATTAAGAATGTATTTAACGTTCATACATTTACTTTATCATAAACAAATCTAACCTTTAAAATTGGATCTTCTGAATCTATCTTTTAGAATCTGTTCAAGGCAAATGGTCAATATGGCAGATTTGGCCTCCTGGTTAGTGAGGGAGCCGATCTGGCCTCCAGCTGCTGTCACTGGCAGGCAAGGTGCTATGTGGGAGGTTAGGAACACTGGACTTGAAGTCACAGAAGCCTTGGTTTGGCGAAGCACAGTGGTTGGTGGTTAAGGACCAACTTGTAATCAAACAATTCTGGGTTTAATCACTGGCAAATGAGTAGGGCAAACACGTAACCTGAGACTCAGTTTTCTTATTTAAAAAAAAATGGGACTAATGACCCTGTTTAAAGATTATATGACAGTACCTATGTAAAGTATTCAGAACACGGCCTGATAATAGACAAACTCTTGGTGAAATCTATATTTTGGGATTACTAAATAGAGTACAGTTTCTTCTATATGTTTTCTGGTTAAAAGGACTGCTATGTTAGAAATACCAGTTTCCGGGATTTTTTTTTTTAGGGGGAGGCATTAAGAGCGGCTATACATAAAAAATGCTAATAGGAAATTGATTTTAATGTTAAGTGGATTCTGCTTATGCAATTGTAGAACACCTGAACTTTTAAAATTAAAAAGCACAGGTCACCAAAAAAAAAACACACACACAAAAAAAACCTTTCAATGTGTCTAATTCTGAATTTGCTTCTAGGCCTGGAAAGCCACTTTTAAAAGTACACAAACAAAATTTCCGTTGTTTTCATCGTCCTCCAAGTTGCAATTGCACCTGATAGGGTGACTAGCTGCTCTCCACCGACTCCACGTGCAGAGGGAGACAGAAATGAGTCAGACTGCAGGAGAATTATCTAGGTTAATTAGATGGAAAAAAGTTCCTGAGAGCAAAAGTTAAATAACAGAACAAGCTGCCAAGGGAGTTTTTTGAATCTGCTTTCATTAGGTGTCTTTCAAAAGCAACCAGGGCAATTGGTATAGAACAAGCATCCTCAACCCAATGGTTGTGAGCTACTGAACTTGAAGCCTGGCTTGCTAGAGTTGGGCAAGAACACAATCCCTTAAATAATATACCTATATATTTGTACATGTTTGCATAAGCAATAAAGGAACACCAAACTGGTCACTGCGGTGATATTGCAGAGTACAACTACAGAGAGAGGGAAGATACTATGAATTTTACTCTATTTATATAGTATTATTTGGATCATTACAATGGACATGTGTTACCTGGGTATTTCTAACAACTGCCTTTTGAAAACGTTATTTTTAATGTTCAGGACTGTGCCAGAGGACACGTCAAATCAAACCTTGGTTCTATAACCTACTGGTCATATGGGCAATTTACCCTGAACATGTGACCTTGGTTAATTTGTTAACTTCTCTAAATCTCAGGCCCCTTATCGGTAAAATGATGACAATACCAACCTCACAGAGTTGTCTTGAGGTTTAGATACAATTATGCTTAAGGTCAAGCATAATAATCAGCACATAATAGAAGCTTAACAAATAGAAACTGTTACTCTAATCCGCACTGACTGTCCTACTCCACTCTCCTATGTCTTCTTTTGACCCCAATTGGACTGAGGGTTAAGAAAGAGAACCCTCCCCTCCCCTCTGCAGGAATCCAATCCTTCCAAATACTTTCCCAGCGACAGTCCTACCCAAACCCCTCTGACTGGCTGCAGCCCTCCACTTTCACCACACGCCCCCATACCCTCTTCAAGGACAGACCCCATCAGAAGACCACAGCTATAAACACAGAACTTCCATTCTGATATGAGAGCATACAGTTTTAGAAATTTAATGTTACAAACTTAACACATCATCATTAATAAAAATTAGAAAATCGGTTAATTAAAAATGGTAACTATTAAATCAAGGTCAATGTCTTGGGTTTAACAAACCTACCAGGCACCTCAACTAGGAAAAGGCTCACAGGATACCACAAAAGAAAGAGCCTGGCTGTATGACAGAGTGAAATGCCAGCAGCCCAGGCTGCCCGAGCTTGTGAAACAATGTCTGGAGACCCGCCAGAGCCTGTGGAAAGACAAAGCCTCTCTGGTAACACAAGAGGTGATGAGACCAAAAGTGCTCTTTTAGCATTAATCTCCTTAAAAGCGTAAACTAAGCTTTGTGAAAGTGGGTTCCATGTCTTCTTTATTAACTGTGGGGACCCTAGACCCCAGCATTGCATGTGTGCAAGAAATACAGGGGAATGAATAGGTGAATAAATGAACAAGCTCTTCAAAAATTCAGCTGTGGATCATATCCAGCTATTCTACACTGCTGTAAACAAAAATAATTAACGTGGCATAACAAAGAATTTTCACAATGTAAGATGTTTTAGACCCTGGGATATAAAGCATAGCTAAAGTCAAAGAGAAAGAGTATCTACCATAAGCTAAAAACAAATAAGTTCAAAGCTAGACATCTGGAAAAAATTAAGAACATATGGTAATGTGCTCTATTAAGCCACATTCTGCCAAAGCATGGGATAAGGCTCTGCCTACAAATCTGAAAGCATTGTACAGGCTCATCCTTGGTTCCCACTGCATTGTTCCTGGGGGAGCCTGGGCCAGGCTGAGATTTGCAGTTTCGTCACAGCTCTCTCTTGGCTGACAATATGCTGCCACCTCCACAAATCTTTCTAATTGAAAACCCAGTTTGTGAGAACACAATCCACTTTAAGTGCCTTCTCAGAGAGAGAGTTATGGATTTATAGTGTGTCATTTCTCCTGTATTTCACACAGAAATGACACAAATTGAGTCCTAACATCACAGCCTATGAGTTAAGTTCCCTCGGGTCATATTCGTTGTCACAAGATGAGCTATGACCAATTTGGGGTTGGCGCATTATGCCACAAAACTGACCAATGAAAAGTCAACATCTTCAAATATAAGTAGAATAACAGCTGATGAGACTTTTTGAGCACTTAAAGTTGGCAAAATATGGTCTTTTTAGTAAACTATGTGTAGCTTTGGAGTTAACAGTAGACATGGGCAAAATGTCCTGTGAAGTCCCAGTTTACAAGGAATCCAATTGACTTTACAGGTGAAATAACTGGATTGTTTGGGGCACATTCAACCTGTATCTTTTACGAGAGAGTTAAATAAAAGTAAACCAGCATGTTTAAGCAAGTTATTGAAAAAAGCAACTCGCAATGACTACAGTAGATCTAGCCT